GGGGTGGAACGGGTCATTGGGGAGAAAAAGGGACATCTGTAATATTTTAAACAAAAATAAACAAAAAAATCACAAAAAAAGAAAAAGTCGTTAGCCATCAAAATCATGACAGTTAAAAAAACACAAGGGTTATAGGCTACGCTGCCCGGCAGGGCGTGGCTCAGTAGTTGAGCATTGACCTAGGATCCAGGAGATAACTGTCCGATTCCCATCAGGGCACATGCCCGGGTTGTGGGCTCGATCCCCAGTCGGGGGCATGCAGGAGGCAGCCGATCAATGACTCTCTCGTCATTGATGTTTCTCTCTCTCTCCCTCTCCTTTCCTCTCTCTGAAATCTATAAAGATTATACACACACATACACACACACACACACACACACACACATATATATATAAAACAACAGAAAAAAACTTATAAAAGGCAATTTGGTGAGACCTGGGAAATTTGATTGTGGTATATAGATGGTACTTGCTCATTTTTTTAAGTGTGATACTGAACGTCCTTAAAACCTCGAGTATTTGGGGCTGACCCTTCAAACAGTTCATCATACACACGTGCTCGCACGTGCAGGCACACACATGCACAGCAAATGTGGCAATGGGTTAATCATTATTCAAAAGCTAGAGAGTGGGTATACAGTACATAGATGTTTGTTATATTCTTCTTTCAATTTTTCTGTATATTTGAAAGCTCTGGTAAGAAAATATTAGGAAAAAACAAAAACCTTTGTCCCAAATCAATCTGAAGCATAAAATAAAACCAAAGCAAAACCAAAAACCCAGAGAATGTTCTAGACTCTAAGAGATCCAAGAGATAACAGGCACACAATGAGTGACCCCTGAATGGATCCTGGGTGAACCACCACAGTATTTTGTATTCTGGGAATAATGAAGGTGATTTACACATGAAGTGTGTATTATATACTAGGAGACCAATAATTTTCTTAGGTGTGATAACAGAATTATGAGGATATTGGAGAAGTTCATTATTCTTAGGAAAGTGTATGCCTGGGTAATTAGAGGTGAAGGGTAACAATGTCTGCAATTTATTTCGAAATGGCTCAGAAAAAAATAAGAGCAAGAGAAACAAACAATAAAGCAAATATGATAAAATGTTAATGGTTATTGAATCTACCCAATGAGTATATAGGTGTTCCTTGTTCATTCTTTCAATTTTATCCATTAAGTTTGACATTTTTCATAATAATAAAGTTTCTAAAATGGATACAAACTTTTTTTAGGTATAGAACTCACAGCTATTATGGTTACCCTTTAAATGAGAAATATCAGCAACATTATCCTTCCACTTATTCATTCAAGTTAGTACCATTCAATATACCTACTTAAGTAAGAATTAAGGTGTTGAATGCAAGCTCCAAAAAATTCATCCCTTTGAGGTGGATCATAGTTCAAGATGCTGAATGGAAGAATAATAGCAAAGACTGCAAAAGGATGGATCTGTATAAACAGAACAAAAATGTTTACTTTAAACTTCAGTAAAACAAAATTTTAACCTAATTATTTTGGGTACAAGTATTTTTCTAACATGCCTATAGTTAAATGATAAATGTATTACTCTGTGTATTAATTTTTCCACTTTGTTATAACCTATTTAACCCCACTACTAATTTCTAGTAACTCTAAGTGTTAATAAAGAAAAAGTAAATGAGGTAATTTACAAAGTAATTTTGTTAGGTATGAAATCCTATTCCAGAAATTCACTAGTCATTAAAATGAATAGGAAATAGTATCACTAACTTATATGATATCAGTGCATTTTGTAGACTGATAATGTAATTAAGGTGGTTTCTTAGTTTATAATCATCAGAATTTATTTTTCTTTCATTCATTTTTCATTCAAGCATCAGGAGGTCGCCAGTTCGACTGCTGGTCAGGGCACATGCCCAGGTTGCAGGCTCGATCCCCAGATGGTGCAGGAAGCAGCTGATTGATGTTTCTCTCTCATCAATGTTTCTATCTTTCTCCCTACCCCTTCCTCTCTCCCTAAAATCAATAAAAACATTTTTTTTAAAAAGGGGTTTAGGGGCAGAAACAACAAATTGCTGAACAAAAACTAGAGTTTAATTTTTAAACTTCAAATTCCAGTCAAGTTCTCAAAGTACTTATGATAAACATTTGTTTTTATAAGTTCACAACTATATAAAACTATGGGACATTTAAATTTCACCTTTTCAATTTGCTGAAGGACCACTGAGGCTATCTTATCAAGTAGCAAAGTATTGAGGTAGTTAGTTCTAGAAATAAAAGATGCAATTCCCACAACATTTGTGTAATTAATTTCATCCATCAAACACTGCAAAGTAGCAACTGTTTCTTCAAGAAGTGTCTCAGAAAACCAGTCTCCTTTTAAAGATTTAAGTTCTTCCCATAACAGATTCAAATGGTTGTATTTTTGTAGTCTCTGATGACCATAGTGAGCTACTTTTTGAAGTAGTGTCAGCTGTTTTCCAGTAGTATTATCCAGATACACATGACCATACTGAATCCATCTTAAAATAGATGTGGCAAAACTATTCAGGTCATTTAGGTTACACTGTGGTAAAACTGCTTCAATTCGAGATATCCCCGCTTCATCTAGGTGAGGAGATGGAAGCATAGAAATAGCACAGACCAGGATGGAAATCTCACTAGGTTTGACACTAATTTTCAAATAACTATAAAGAAAGGGAGGGAAAGTAAAAAGAACAAAATTAATACATCAGTAACAAAAGCCAAAATATATGTGTTAAAATATGAATATATAATTATTATTATAATTAATAGGTGGGGCAAGCTTAAAATACAAGTTAATTTAAGAAGTGTTAACTAATTCAAAGATGACAGGTCCATGAAGAGTTACTAAAGGAAGCCTTAAGATAATATAAAGCACATCCCAAATTTTTTAATGCAAAAATAAAAACCACAGTCCCTGAAAACAAAAGGTCAGTTTCAGAACAATGATATTTTCCAGCGCTGTTGCTAGAGACAGAATTTGGGCTGAATTTCTGATATGACCTATCAGGAGCTGGTACCTAGTACAGGTGCTGGCATACAGTGATCACTCAATTATACTGGTTCCCAGCTTACTTTTCTGCTAAAAAATCCCAGAAAACACAGGATATACAATTGACTCCATTCTTTACTCCTCCTTTCCCAAACTTCCATAAGATTCCTATCACCAGGACAGCAGTAGTTAAAATAAAATAAAATAAAAAACTGGGAGCTTTTAAAAAATCTTTAGGCCCTGGCCAGGTAGCTCAGCTGGTTAGAATGTCATCCTGATACGCCAAGGTTGTGGGTTTAATCCCCCGTCAGGACACAGACAAGAATCAACCAATGAATGCATAAGTAAGTGCAACAACAAATCAGTGTTTCTCTCTCTCTTTCAAATCAATAAATAAAATTTAAAAAAAAAATCTTAGATTTAGAAGTACTGGAAGATATAATCAAATCTAAATTAAAACAAAATTGAGTTACTTTTTTAAATATTAAGTTAGCATATTGAAATAATCTTAATAGTCAGCGCTAGCAAGGGTGCATTGATACAGGCATTCTCATTCACTATTAGTAAACTTTAAAAGTTGCTATAAGCTTTCTGGAAAGTAACTTAATGGTACGGCTGAAGAACTTTACGATTAATTATATCATTTGACATGATCAATCCCTGTTGAGGAAACTATCCTAAGAAAATAATCTAGCCCTGGCTGGTTTGGTCAGTGGTTAGAGCATCAGCCCACAGCCCAAAGGGTTGCAGGTTTGATTCCCAATCAAGGGTATGTACCTAGGTTGCAGGTTTGATCCCTAGTCCTACTTGTGTGAAGCAGCCAATCCATGTGTCTCTCTCATATCAGTGTTTCTCTCTCTCCCTCCCTCCCTTCCACTCTCTCAAAAATCAATGAGAAAAAATATCTTCCTGAAGGATTAACAAAGAAATGGATAAGTGCATTATGATAGCCTATGATGGTTAATTCCAGTAATTTTTCAAATAGTTCTACATGATGTGGGGAAATGCTCATAAGGTCAAGTGAGGAAAATAAAATAAGAATACCAAACTGCATGTTCATGATTCTCAACTATGAAAGAAAAAAGAATATATATGTACATATATATATGTAAGTCTATACCACAAGGAAATAAACCAAATGTTGACAGTAAATGAATGGATTTATGAATTATTTTTATTTTCTTCTTTAGACATTTTTCTGTTTTCAAAAATTTTTTCCCATATCAGATGGATAACATGCTGACATCATAAAAAGGTTTGAGGGACAAACAAAAACTCATAGACACAGACAACATTATGATGTTTATCAGAGGGAAGGAGGGTAGGTAGTAAAGGGTAAAGGGGGTCAAATAGATGGTGACAGAAGAAGACTTGACTTTGGGTGGTGAGCATACAATGAAATATACAGATAATGTATCATAAAATCGAACACTTGAAGCCTATATAATCTTATTAATCAATGTCATCCCAATAAATTTAATTTTTAAAAAAAAGGTTTAAGGTACAGAGGGAGGTAATAGCATGAATACCCTATCATCACCCTCTGAACCACAAAAAGATCTCAAAATGATTTTGATTTTTTTTTAATATATCTTTATTGATTTCAGAGAGAGGAAAGGAGAAGGAGAGAGAGAGAGATAGAAACATCAACGATGAGAAAGTCATTGATCGGCTGCCTCCTGCATGCCCCTTTACTGGGGATCGAGCCTGCAACCCGAGCATGTGCCCTGACCGGAAATCGAACCCTGATCGCCTGGATCCTAGGTCGACACTCAACCACTGAGCCCCCAGCGGGGCTCAAAATGATTTTTACATAATATTTGGCCCAGTGCCTGAGACAAAGTAAGTATTCAGTAAGTACTAAATGAATATTTTACTTTTATAACCACAAAAAATAATACACTTTTATATAAACAAAGCTCCCCAAAGCTGTATCTGTTCACAGAATTGACTCAAGGAATAGAACTCTCAATACTTCCTAATCTTGAGATACTTATATAAAAATAAACCCCCAACAAACAAATAGGACTACATAAAACTAAAAAGCACAGCAAAAGAAACCATTAACAAAATGAAAAGAGAATCCACTGTATGAGAGAACATATTCGCCAATGATACATCTCATAAAGGGTTAATTTCCAAAATTCATAAAGAATTTATACAGCTCAACACCAGGAAGACAAACAATCCAATTAAAAAATGAGAAAAGGACCTGAATAGACACTTCTCCAAAAAGGAGATAAAGATGCCCAATACACATATTACAAAATGCTCTAACTCACTAATCATCAGAGATGCAAATTAAAACTACAGTGAGGTATCACCTCACACCTGTCAGAATGGCTGCCAACAACAAATCAACAAACAGCAAGTGCTTACGAGGGTGTGGAGAAAAGGGCACCCAGTACACTGCTGGCGGGAATGCAGACTGGTACAGCCACTGTGGAAAACAGAATGGAGTTTCCTCAAAAAATTTTAAAAGAATGGGACTGCCTTTTAACCCAGTGATCCCACTTCTAGGAATATATCCTAAGAATCCCAAAACACCAATCAGAAAGAATATATGCACCCCTATGTTCATAGCAGCACAATTTACAACAGCTAAGATCTGCAAACAGCCTAAGTGCCCATCCGTAAATGAGTGGATAAAAAATCTGTGGGACATTTACACAGTGGAATACTATGCAGCTGTTAAAAAAAAAAAAAAAAAAGGGACAGAGGAAAAACAAGATGGCGGCATAGGTAACAGCTGCACCCGCCACCTACCGCAACCACATCAAAATTACAACTAAAATATAGAACCACCATCATCAGAGCCTCCTGAGATCTGGCTGAACAGAAGCCCCACAACCAGGGAGCTGAAGAANAAGCACCGAGACCGGGAGGAGGGGCGGAGACGCGGGCGGATCGGGGCTGAATCGCAGAGACGCGGCCGCGGGCCCACACCCGGTGCCGTGGTTGAGACCGGGACGGGAATCTCGGCGGCGGAGTTTTCCCAGAGGAGGGAGGGGGTCCCACCCCACAGCAGGCCCCCAGCCCAGGGCTCCAGGCCAGGAAGAGACGCCCCACAACTCTGAGCTGTGAAACCAGCGGGGACTGTGGCTGAGGGTCGCGGAGGCTGCGGGAGCCCCAGCAGCTCCTCTAAAGGGCCCGGCGCGGACTCACTCGGACGCTCCCTCTGAGCCCAGCGCCGGGCAGCAGCCTGAAAGGACCCGGGACACTCGGGGGGGAACTAACCTGCCTGAGATCCGGGCGAGAGGCGGAGGGCGGCTTCCTCCCAGGCAGAAGGGCTGGCAGAGGCCATGGCTCCTTTGGCGAGTCCTCCCCGCACACAGCCGGCAGGCAAGCGCCATATTTGAATCTCGAGCACCTGACTCACACCTTTGGCCCCGACCGGTGATTCCCGGAGGCCCCGCCCCTCCCCACCTGCAGCTCATCCAGGCCATTTCCAGGGGCTTTTCTGTGCAAGTGGCCTCTCNACAGCTTGATAAGCGGCCCCAGGCCTGGCACTAGCAGCAGCTGCATTGGCTCATAGCTTGGCCTCTCCTGGACAACGCAGAGCCCAGCACAAGTAGCAGCCAACTACAGTTTGCTGTGTAGCTCAGGCTGGG